GCAAATAGCTGGCACACAACTCTTCAACAGCAGTGTGCCGCTGTATAGGACCATACTTACACTATGGCGAGTGTGCTATGGCAGCAGTATACGCACGCGCAAGCCCGGCAGTTGCCTAGGTTCAAACCCCAGCAACAGCAGCATCCCGGATTCCGGATAATATAATCCGGGAGCGGGGCGGGGCGAGGCAGCAGGCAGTGTGGGCGCGTGCGGCGGCCTTGGCCTTGACGCTTGCGCACACGCGCTCGTGAGCACACTCACTTTTTCGCCACATGTCGGCTTCGTGTTGCACCGTTTTTCTACCCTCGTTTTCGTCGCGTGCTCGTAAGCCCACTCACTTTTTCGCCACGTGTCGGCTTCGTGTTGCGCCGTATTTCTGCCCTCGTTTTCGTCGGAAAATGGCCCGAAAACAGCCAAAAACCCGTCTGTCGGGTTTTGCTGTTTTCCCAGCTGTACAGGGTGGTGGGTGGGAGCGGGGAATGTTCCCGCTCCGATACTAGTGTGGTGGACCCGCCAGGTGTGGTGCTCTGCCAGGGATAGAGATGGAGATGGAGGAAGAAGGAGAGCGAGATGGCACAACGCAACTCCCACGCCAGACTCCAACGCACGTACTCCAAGCTGTGCGAATGCAGAATGATCTCAAAAACAGACAACCGCTGGGGTATACCCCAGCGGACTGACGGGACTGGACTGGACTGGCTGGTACCGACAGAGGTACCGGCCTGGACTGGACTGCCCCGAATAGAACACAGGCCTGTGAGAACAGGCCAAGGGGCTGGTCTCACAGGCCAACCAGAGGTCCGCTACACACACACACACACACGCGCCCACACACGCACAAACACGAGCACACACACACACACACACACGCACACAGATGCGTGCACACACACACACACACACGTGCACACAAACACACACACACGCACACACGCACGCGCGTGCGCCCACATACAGACACGCGTACGCGCACACACATGCACACACACACACCCGCGCACGCACACACACTCACACACACACACACACACCCGCGCACGCACATACACACACACACACACACATACACACTCGCGCACGCACACACACACACAAACTAGCGCATTCATTTTTATTTTTTTCTAATCAATCAATCAGTTTGTTTCATACTTGCGGCGCACCAACCCTGTGCGCTGCGCGGTGCGCCGCGTGCTGTGCGGTGCGCGGACCCGAGGTGCGCGCGCACCAGCGCGGGCCGCGCACCCGGGTGCGCAGTGCACTGCGCTCAGGGCCGGTGCGCTGGGGGGTGCACCCTGGCGGGGCGCAGGTGCGCCGGGTGCGCACACCATTTTTATTTTATTTTTTATTTTACTGTTTGTTTAGGGATTTATTTTACTGTTTTTTT